GGTAGAGCTAGACAGGTGTTAGACAAGGTGCTTCCTCTAATTATCGATAAAAAGAGATCGATTCTCACAGATTAACGGGCAATAACGGCTATTGCAAACGGCTATTACCGTGCAGCACTGAAATGTATGCGTGCGGAGCTCCATTACTGCGCTACAAACACTTACGTACTTGGCTCTTAGGCTAAAAGGCTGGCGTGGCGGTCGGGCCTGCCAAATATACTCCACAGAATTGATCATCAATCAAACGCTGTTAATCTTATACGTGAAGCATACAATACATGAGGTTGGTGCGGTTGGGTGACCTTAACCGCTGACTGAAATAAATCTTGCCTAGTTATTGATTGCACCCTATTGAAACTGTACATTTGTTGCATTCTTCACTAAGACGTTTAGTACGACCATTTGTTCAACGAGAGCCGTCCCAAATCATTTATGTTAATCAGTGTGTAAAATACTCTGCCCAAGTGATCTTTCCAATATCTATTTTCAGAAAATGCAGTTCTCTGACATTGCCCAAATTAATACATTACACGCAGGAAGCTTGCAAGAGATTGATAGCAAACAGTTCATCGTAGCGGTCATGTGTTCGCCCACTACATTGGGACTATCTGGAAGAAAGCCAGTTATCTTTAGAACAAAAGCCGCAATGGCGAAGGCAGGACGTTTATGTTTCGAATATCAGCGAGGATAAGTTATTGTCCGAAGTAGGTCCCACTGAGAAACTTTAACTGCGGCTAGATTTCCATGAGGCGAAAAGCCCATAATAGAAATTGGATTAAAAAAGCTTTCGAATCATTTCAAAGATGCAGAAGCCATTACCCATGATCCCGAAACTAGACGACGAAATCTACAGCCGTATTTAAGAACAGAATATAATTTACTGGGTCATCCAGATCGTTTTTAATGCTCAGCCTTTTTTGGACTTTTCGCAGCAGTTTTTCGAACTTTGACGGACCCTTTAATGATTGACCGTAACCATTTTTGAACCAAAAATGCAAGTAATAACAAAATTAATATCGCGTACCTAAAAAAGTCGAAAATTTAGAGAAAAAAAAACCATTGAAAACGGCTTGTGGTTCGTTTAGGCGGTTCCGTTAAAGGTATCAACGAAGCGAAGTGTACACGCAACCCAACTATCTGTTCCTATTCTATGTGGTTTATATGATATACAAGAAGAACAAATAACTTCAATTCTGCTCCAATGTATCCCAAACACCCAATTTGTAACAGCATTGTTGAACACTACCCTCCTATATCACAACAAGAAAAGACTTACCTTTCAGGTGTTCAACATACTAGCCTTAATATTTCGAAAATTGAATCCATACGCGGTCTCGCCTTTCGTTATTCCACAAGCGGAGAAAGTATCTACAAGCAACGATTTCAACCTGTTTCAATATCGTAACACGACGTCAAATTGCAAACAAGGCATTATTACGGTACAATATACGGTACAACCCAGGGAAACACATTACTCCATCTTCATTCCTTATTATTATCTATTATAGCTAGACAATGCGTATGAACAAAAATATTAAAACTAATGGTAATGGGTGCAAATATGGGCAATCAAAGCCAAAAGTGCATAAATACCGTATAAATGGTATAAACGATTTTTCGGACTACAGTAGTTCGTGGGCAATTATGGATAGCGACAGTTTACTAGAGCAGTTATTCTTAATATGATAATAAAACAATGAACTTTACGTAGGTTTTTATCTGCATGCGGTTAGGTGGGTTAGGCGAACGTTTGGAAACCCACATCCGGCAAATCGCTGGATTAGTTAAGAATAGAACGATATAAATCAAATTTAACATCTTTGATATAAGACGCCTTACGATTTAATTTGTAGACGGAATACTCTTCTAAGTTAATAAGCACAGTCGGCGAATTATCTTTAAAGAAGGCAAACTGCACAGAGATGGCCGATAACGTCACGTTCGTTACCAGGCAGTAGGAACAGGGCCACCGGCGCAATGCAGACAGCCTCATCTGCTTGGAAACAGCATTTGTTCCTGCTTGTGACCTGAAACATAGCTAGCCATCTAGGTTTCGGGGGTTGATTCGCTATTTAGGCTAGGAAAAGGGTCCTAAAATATAGAAAGGCGTGTATGAGATAAGCTAACCCAAACCCAAACAACATTACCATTCAGAACTTCTAGTTCATCGATACTCTACAGTTCGTTGATACGTACGCGTGACAACAAATTAAATATCAAGTGTTTAGCTAGTATGTGTCTGTAACATATTGGCAAACGCTTTACATAATTTATATGAATTGGAGGATAGGCGACAAATGTATGTATATATATATATATATATATATTGTGTCAAAATCGCCTCCAAACAGGGGCTGAGACATTTCAGCCTGAAAAAACCATAGAAAAAGTAAAACTGTATCATGACGAAATTGAATCGTGGGCTTTATAAAGTAAGCAGGTACATTCAATATGACTTCTAATGAAACCTGTGATGCCTGCAGGCATCTTTACTTTGAATAAGGAAACAGCTTATAATATGAATGTCTAACTAAAAGCCATGGCTCTAGGATAGCAGGAGTTCGAATGATAGCCAGTTGTTATAAACAATTCATATGCTTCTCGCTGCTGTCCTTGTCTAGAATTTGTAGTTTTATAATCAGTTGTTTTTTTCTTTTTTTTTTTTTTTTTTTTTAATATTAACCAATGCAACGATGACTTGACTGTAAACGATATATACATAGAGTCCTTGCAATCAGTATATATGCAGTTGAGTAAGCTACTATATGTAATTATGCCATCGCTTGCCAACTATAGAGACGTACGGACAATCCGGCCATGTTGGATTTAATCCATTCGTGTAATTAAAAGTGATAATGTGACCATGAAACCCATTATGGTTCTAAGAAAAGTAGGCGCAGCTAGCTAAGATGACCTCGTCCTCGTACCTAAAACCGCTCTGAAGACATGGGGTAGCAGATACCAACAGTGGAAAGGCGCCAAGGGCTAGCGTAGTGTTCGATTTCACAACGTAATCTATTTGGCTATAAAGGAAAAAAAAAGCTATTTTTGAAATGTCTAGTTTTTTTTTTTACTTTATTTTATTTATATTTAAGATTTTAGCATTGTGATTTGGTTATCCAGCGATACCGTAACGTGTCTTTAAGTTTGTCTCCTACTGCGTGAAAAATTTGGATGTCGGTGTAAGCCCAAATACGTGTTACTCCATCTGCGTACTATTTTATAATGCCGATGATACCTAGTTGTATTCTTATCGTTCCGCCCGTCCAAATAGATTTGTTTTTTGCTCGCTTAACGCACCTATATTTCGATCTGTTCTATTATTTGACCAGATTTCACATGGTCCACCTATCAAAGGAACGACAAGGCCCCTGTGCTAGCCCAACTAAACTCAAAAATCAGTTTATAGGCGGCGCATCGATACAATTCCCATAGGGTTAGTCGTTTGAACCGGCTATCATATACAGGGTAATGGTTGACTGGCAGCTAGAGCGTATCTTTTTTTGGGTGAAAGCAATAAGGGAGTTGCTTTGCATTCACACTACAGTGACAAGTGTAATAAGGCACAACGGGCATGCTCCTATTCATAGACGCATTGTTATTAGGCCACAAACTAAAAAAGACTGGCTCCGCCTAACCTATGTTTAGCTGACCATTTGCAGGCTTGAGTAACATTTTTCATACACGAATCATAGTTTACTGTTCTCATCACTACGAACTTGTGCAGGTAAAGCATGCCCATTTTTTGTAGTGGAATTTAAGAACCTCCGTGCTTTGGTAACGGGTTCGTTGCAAAAAAATAACAACCCGAGCCAGTGACATCTCGACCCAACAACTAAAACCATTCAAGTTGGCTAAGTGGCACCCGCTTTGACGGATGCATACGAAAGATTTTCGTATAGCAAAAGAGTGTGCCTAAACTCAGTAATGGATTGTAGGTAATAATATCTGTAGGGCTACTGGAATAGGCCTATGTAACAAAGAAAAACAATCCGAAACAATTTGGCTTTTTTTTTTTTGTCATTAGTAATGGCACCAAAAGATTCAGATGTCTAAAGTAGAGCGGCTAGACAAATAAAGCATTTAGATATTAGCCAATCTCAAGCTACTAGTTAGTATAACTCATTGATTATGGATTTGAATTGAGCAGGATACGGCACTGAGAGAGCTATCGAGTCGTTGGTTACTGGTATGTTTAAATTCAGTGGATTATGTTGTAAGCATTACGATAAATAATAGAAATTTTGTACCCTTCGACACTTTTTATATAGAACTTAGCTTCGGCCTGATTTCGTAAACAGCTGTAGAAAAATGTGTGGGCCTAGGATTAATTGTCGGAACAGCTCACTACAGCCATCATAATGAATCAGCGGATCCACAGATTACATGGGTATTCGATCGGGATTTAAGACACCTGGCAAATCTCTCATATAGATCTCAGATAGAAAACGTCTCCTGTTAACATGCATATTTTGTGCTACGGAAAGATATTTACTACAGCCTCATCCATTATATCGCATACGAAAAACATACTTTTAACTAATAATATCCTTGCTCAGGTACTGTCAAGTAATGGACTCGGTAGTTCAGATGGAGCCCGTATAATTGTTGTGTTCCGATACTTAACTGCTTTTTTTGCAATTGGAAATATATAACGCCTCATTCATTCCCTGCTCTCCCTAATGACACTAGTTAGACATTAATGCTTATTGGTAAACCTCCCGCAGTCATACGAGGCGCGTGTTCTTGGATCAACGATTTATAAAAGCCTCGCCCCTTTAAAGCCTTTCGAATTTAGTAAGCAGTCTTCCAGATGACAGACCAGCAAGCGATATAGCGATTATATTGAGTTGAAAATGTGGGTAGTTTGTTTTTTTGTTAGCTGGATTTACATGGATATGGATATAGAAATTTAAAAAATACGCTATACAGAGAAAACAGAGCTTTAGCTTCATCCAAGGCTGTTTACTAACTGCCTAACAACCGGAAACAACCGTTTATTTTCGCGGAAAATAATGAAGGAATTACTCTTGGTGAACGCACTGAAAATTAAGAGCTTTTCTATTCATAGCAACTGAAGAACACATGCATATATTTAAAATAACGGTAAAAATTCTACACAAAGGCAGACCGCTCCGTCGTGAAGCATATCTTGCTCAAAAGCACTAGTGCTAGTTATTTCATAAAATTTCCGTACGCCCCAACGTTGACGATCGCTTAAAGGGCCTGCAAATCCATCCCATATGGGTTTGCCCGCACGATAAGTGGCCGTTTGGTTCTTTTTCACAGACCTTCCTTGGTTATCGAATAGCTCAAAAATAATTTCTTTTTTTACTGGCCAGCTTTCGTAGCCCGTTTGGTCGCGGTGAATCCTCAGAAACGCACCAAGAAAGAAGCTATTGTCAATTAGTTCAACATCCATACTAAATTCACAGGGATACCCTCCTAGACGCCAATTAATATAGGGTCCAATTATATTTTTCTCTTCTCCGCCGATTTGTTCCACTATGTCCTTTAGATCGAACCAAAAATACGCTTTTCTCGACTCCTTCTCTGCAGTTATGGATGCTTTAAAGGATTCCAGCTTTTCACTTAGCACTCTGATTATATCTTGATGACTTTCCGATTTTAACGGAAATTCGATTATTCTAGTGGATTGATGGTCGACATCATCCTTCCAGAGATGCTTCTTAATTTCCACCAGTGTACCTTCTAGGCCACACGAGCACATGAAACGCATGTCGCTTAGGACGTTTTCAGTTATTTCGTTCTTTTCGCCGGTCCGAATTTTTTTACACTTGGAACACTGGAATTTAAGAACCCCATCTGAATTTCTATGAGATATGCAGCACGCAAAGCAAAACGAGTGACCACACGACCCGATGATTCTTCGTGCCGAGGACTCTCCACATGCATCGCAGGAACTCAGGACACGGTTCGAGAATCCTAATGGCTTCAAAGGTATACGGCCCGGGTTTAGATTGTCGGGCAGATCCCGTAAAAACATCTGCAACGAAACAGTACGTGATGATAGTAATGGCGATGTGTTACGCGTGTACAGAACGATCGATTTAAAAAAAAAAAACACGTGTATTCAACTTAGAATGACCCATCAATGTATATGTTCATGAACATTTGACGCTGTTAACTGCATCATGTTGAATTTTCGAAGGTAACGTTTCCTCAATGCAAGCAGCTGATACAAAAAGCTCATATCTCCGTTCGATGCATGAGGTGCTATTCGTACGTTGCCGCGAATACGCATCTGAAAGCTACTACCGTCAACGAATACGTCTCGCAATTCGTCTGCGTAAACACCTCGCGTACTACATGAGTATTAACTGCCGTGCTGTGGGCCGCACGCAAATTGAAACTATAACCAATAACTGGCTACCCCACATCGAACGTACGTCCAGTGACCGCGTGATTCGTCATCACTTCGTTGCTTACTTGAAAATCGAATCCTCGATTTTCCAAAAGCTACGAAAACGACAGCATCGCTGGCTCAAAACAGAGGCTTATAAGGTTAGTCCGAGAAACTGCTATTCCAGTACTCAGCTGATTACTGTAGCTTCATAAAGCGTGAATTCTAGATATTCGTAATGGATCGTAATGGTCGGAGGGGCCGAAGTCTTTGTGTTTACAAACCGAGTCGTATCCGATATTAATCGCTGGATCGCTTTGGATCTATTTGGTGCTAATCTGTAGGTTGCCGGTATAGATGGATCTACCACATGATGGCCTATACAATATCGTCACTGTGTGGTTGTATCGCTTAGCTAAGGCAGTGTCAGAATAAAGCATTGGTGACCGTCTGGCAAGACTAGGATAAAGAAAACTGCTCGGTAGATGAACATTTGCCTGACTCTCATTCTACTTGTGGAGGTGGGCTTTGCAGACTTGCCTCATCTTCTACGTCGTTAGCCCTTAGTGTAAGACGAGACTGACATGCGGCAAAGGTCATAAAGACAACATAATACTTGCACGTTTGAAGAAAAGCAACAGTGTCCTAAAGTTCAGTTTAACTGGTGAGAGATTGGTCGAACGTGTCCTGATTTATCGGCTATTCCGAATACATACAAACAAAGAAATTCAAATCTTTTGGAGATCGTTTGTGTTCTCTAGTACGATATGGTTTCATTTATACCATTGGCTGATTGAAGCAATACTAGATAATCGATCTATCGTTCTTCAGTTAGGAGAACCGTACATTTGGAGCCTACCCGTGCAGGACGAATGTGGCTAAATTCTAGCTTTCGGTGAAGTGCTATAAAAATGACAGCGAGTTGTCCATTCGAGAACGACACAAAGAAGCATAAAAAAGTTGATTAGTGAGGGTTTATACTATGATATTCTCTAAGGCAACATCAGTGACCGAAAAATACAGAAAATCACTTTCGCTGCTACGAACGGATTCAGTCAGGCTCGAAACGATTAGTAAATATAGGATCGGTCTAACCCTTTCTTTCCGTGTAGAATGTTAGAAGACTTTGAAACTTATACGATGCTCGCGTACCGCTACACGTTTCGTTTTACAGCTCCTTCGGCTCAGTAATTTGCTAGAAGAACAATTTATTCGCGACAACCATTACACAATGTTGAAAATATCGGTAGCATGACGGCAAGGCAAATCCCAAACCATCCGTAAGCATGGTCTGCCAAAGAATGTTCATTCATATTATAAATACAAATGCTAATATTATTGTATTTCTGTTATATTTCTCGTAGCTCAAAATGGACATTTTAGTATAACACCGTCGAAAAGAAAGTGCCGTTCGCTGCCTGTTCGACCTGACGTTCACCTTCCATCTTGCAAAATAACGCGAACGTGTCCCGCGGAATTTCAGGCATTCTAGGCGCTTGCCACTCCTCAGCACTGTCACGCTCCACGTACCCCATTCGGTCTCGTACACAGTACGTATATTCAAACCGATTCACTTATTCAATGGCACAGTTGCTTTTTATAGGGCTGTAGTCGAAATGGGGCTCTCTTCCTAGTGCTGACCCATCTCCTGCCGGGAGAGCATACGAACTCATACTGAGCTCCGATGTCAGGGGAAGACTAAACGCCGACGAAAGGACGCCGTTCTAGTAGATGAATGTCTATCAATATAGTGCACGCCACAAAGAATGACTGCTTGTTGCTACCTTGAAACGCCCTAAAATGCGGTGGTGAACATCGAAGAGCCGGGAAATGCGAGTGCTGCTGATGACGATAGAGGGCATTGAAAAGTTGTTGATATAAATGGGGAACCATTTTTTCAACATTGCTTTCTGACAGCTCTCACAGTTTGTCCGGAACAGGGAGATACGGTTCACCATGGACAAACAGCGACGACCATTTCTAACGCTGTCTGTGTCGAAGAAAGGAGCGCTACTTCTTGAAGAGTTCTGCTGGCCGCGAAGTGCAATGGCCGAGGGAAATTTGGGCGGTCGCGTTGAATGTCCCTCGTATCGATGTTTTAATAACAGCACAGCGGCCAACCTACGACAGGCCTCACTTTCCTGTACGTGCATCAGTGTACGGTGACTTGTTATCGTCACGTCGCAGACGCGTCGATTGTGCCTCTTATGCCTCGAGTGAAATAGGAAAACCTATGAAGTCAAGCGAATCTTGAGGAGCAGTCATACCGCCAGGGGTATCTTCATTCTAAATACTGCCGATTCCCTGTTGCGGTATTTGAGTTAGTAGTGTATCATAGACGCAAGACTGGACCCGTAACGGTGGTTGCTTAGAAAGTGATAAAGCGATCAGAACTAAAGCTGCCCGTTCCAAATAACTGAGTGATTCTTCTAAATCGAAACACAAAGAGACGTACGCGTATGTATGTATGTACTATTGACGAGTATTATATCGACTCAAAGAAAAGCACGGGCTAGATTTTATAGCTAGAGTTGTGAAGACAGCGAAGAACGGTAGAGCGGTCGCAAATAGTCGTGTTCGTCTGGGTTCGCATACTAGACATGAAAAGTAGGCAATAACTAAATGAGATCAAGATTCAAGACCCAAGATCGTCATTTTATTGAAAAATCACTGAAGACAGAAGGCTCAAATGCTGTTACCTTTGACCACCAGGCTACTATTTTTGTATTGGTTACGTAGTATGTTAGTGTTGCACGTGCATCATCTATATCGAGATGTATATTGTTTATTGACGAACTATCACAATACTCAAATAAGAATGGCATGCTCGAATCCTCTACAAAACGTATTTCCAATAAACATTTTATTCTCTGATGTGTTGTGTTTTAGCTACGGCATGGGTATGTATGGGGGTACCGTTTAAGCTTTGGCTGACCGACGGACGTATACTATTTTCCAGTGAAGAAAAATAGGGTATTCAGTTAGAGTGATTTAATTTCTATAATGCACTTAACCACAAAAACTTTTTAAGTCACAGACTGACAACTACCTTTGAAGCTTCGACATTACAAATATGCCAATAAAGATAATCAATCAATAAAGTATTATCTGTTTTGCCATCTATAGTGATGATATACTAGATCTCATGTTACTTATTTATTATGATTAATTTCTTCAGTCACCGGCCTTCAGGTATTTCACTTTGGCTTCTTATCTCATCCGTCAATGCTTTTCTGCTGTATGGGTCAAAATACGTCAGACGAGCTTGATGGAAGATCTTTCGTGCTAAACGCTACTTGCTTTGCTCAGGACGGTTTAAGGGACCAACAAATCTTGATGGACTGCTGGGCAAACTCGATTCGCGCACAATGGCCGCTTGATGTCCACCGTTTGCCGATTTCCTCTTGTCGGCCGCATCCCTTCGCACCACTGTTGACACCCCTGTTGGGTTCGTTCAGCCACTGCAGAGATATGCCCACTCTACACAAAGTTACTGTCAAGTTCTATTCCTCGTGCAATAACTTTATGGCGTTGTGGACAGAACCGCAAGGCATTGGGTCGATCTACTCAGTCGTTTTAAACACAATTTTCCAAAAAGAAAATGCCTGTCAAATATGCCTTGTGTAAAATGGAAGAAGAGTTAAAGTGAAAGAAATGGGGTCTATCAATGATCTGTGAGAACCGATGGCCGAATTGTTGCCGATGTTTCTGAGAATTATACAAGAGAGTTTAATACTGTAAAAATGTGACTTAAAACTAACTATATAAAAAATTTACAATTTACTCTGTTTCTTTTAGATTGATTAAGAAAATGTTCTATGTAACATACATATTTGCTACATCGTCAGAGTTTGATGTGATATCTTAACTGTAATAAAATGAAATAGGCTATAAACAACATCACCTCATTAGCCAGTTGATATACCACATAGTTACAAACTATGAAGTTTCAGGAAACGCGGCATCCACCAGCAATCGTATACCAAGCCAAATTAGGGACAAATAAGAATGAAAGCAGGGGTACACGAAAGTTCTTAGCAGATGAACAGGGATCCCCAGCATCCTATATTGGCGCAGTGGCCTGGATAAGTGCGTCGATAATGTTAATCAAAGCTAAAAGGCTTCGTCAAATATATTGCACTAAACGTTGTAGCTTGTGTCCAGCCGATGGTCCTAGGGGGAAAGCAATGAGCAAGACAGTAAATGCAGATGATGCGCCGTTATGTTTGACTGCAGCAGCATATATATGTCCGCCAGAACGTACAAAATGGCGCGGAACCGATTTTAGGAAACGCAATCCTTTCTTAAAAATTGTATATTGTAGTTTGCCGTGTGGTCCTCCATAATCAAGGGTGGGTCGACTATGGGCATTTTCTTACAGAAAGACTAAGGCTATTATATGTTTTACGTATAGCCACAGCTGCGTATTTCATCTGCCGTGATGCAAACCTGCCAAATACTAAAGAGATTTGAAAAATTTGCTGCTAAAGACGAGTATAACTTTACATCGACATAGCAACAATTACATTCTTATTTATAATAAACTAAAATAGAAAACCCTTATAGCAGTGGAAACGCTTTTTTGTGGTTAGCCGACCTTAACGGTAGAAATGATTTAATACGAATTTAGAAATTTATGCAAAAAACGTCTCTAATTAAAAAAGGCTATTATACTTAAAAAAAGACGTACTCGAAAAATTGAATTGCCATTGTTAAAATGGGTCTACCAAGACTAGTCGTTCAGAAAAAGTATAATACGTATGCCATATATTGTTGGACCCTATTTCGAGCCAGAGATGTATGTAAAAGTCAATTTCACTTCCAAGTAATATTATCACGACCGATCGCCAGTAAAAGGCAATTCTTGAGACGAAATTTCTAATCATAAGTTTCATTTCTTCATTAGTTTCCAGCTAGTAGTTAGATATAATTGTGCACCCTTAGACGAATGTACAACACGATATTTTGTAACAATAGGACAGGCTGTTGGAAGACGATAGCTACCCGGGGGCATATACAAACGGCCTAGGTAATCAAAGGAAAAGAGAAAATACATTATCATCAACGACAGCAATCGCGTTTTTTTTTCGTCGCCAATCTAAAGGCCAACCAGCGCCGCTGACTTTGCCATTTTCTTCCCAGGTTCGATCACATCGATCCCCTGAGATGACTCGGCTGCACTTTATCGGCTTACTCAGACATTTGGCTGGGGTCATGACACTGAAGGCCAAGCGGCTAAGAAAAAGGACCCCTAAGCGAGCAAAGTATCTTGATACCTCCAGGGACCACATTTTCGTAGTCTGCAACAGATTTTATTGTTTGAGATATATGGAGGGTAAGTATGGCTATGTGGGAAAACGGCGGGGCGGGGGGCTGGGGGCTATATCGGCACAGTGCTTCATAGTTAGTGGAGGTATGCTATTTTACCTTTTCCTGCCACAAAACCGGTACTGCTGGCTATTGTGTGTAAATATGGGTAAAAACGAGGACCGAAACCTTACTTCGCTTTTTAAATCCTCTATCCTTCTCGACTTATACTTTTTGCTCGCTCTGTGCCCCTCCTACGAAAGGGCTCTGTTTTGAAGGTCTCACTTAAGATAAAGACACCCCAGGGAATGCGGCACGCTTCAAGATGGCCTTTCTTGTCCAGGTCCACCAACTGTTCTGCAAGTACTAGCAGTTAAGGGAAATCTTCCCAGAACTCGTCTCTTATAACGACGTGTGTTATAGTATAAAAGATCTGATCTCAATGGGATGTTGTCGAAAAGTGTTTGGGTTACTCTTTAGGCTATCCTAGATTCTACCTTTCAGCTATATATAGTTTTGTTCATTCATTGAAGTGTAACGCATCGTGTGTGCATTTTCGTACATTGCTCGGCTACTTAACGAGACCTAACCTGTATATTTCAAGTTATACGTCCGGTATAGCCGCTAGGTATTTCATCAGACTGCTTTCGGGTAGCTCTGTCCTAATGGTAGCGCTGCTAGCACGCTGATTTCAAAACAAAGCTACTGAGAACATACTTTTTCCTACTTCACGAATAAGCAAGGGCATTAGGTGCGTATTTTCTAACATATATTTACGAATTATCTTTACTAGTAGAAATATTGGCTGAGCCGTTGTAGACGTTTCAGGTGTGAGAAGTTTTAAGAAATGTACTTCATTCACGAATTACATTAGGGTACACAAAGCACTTAGTTTTTACCTGAGATTCTTGCAAAAAAACGTTCCGAAAATAGCGAAAAAATGTGCCGGGCTTCCTTTCTATTCTGAAAGCTAATGACATAATAAACGGAAATTTCAAATATATATATTAGCTTTTGCAACTATTATAAGCCGCTATGTATATATATATATATATCTTGGATTTGGCTAGTTTAGACTTCATATTCTCTAGTAAATTACCTTTGCGTGTAAAAGCGATGCGATTAGTGTTTAGCACATCGGAGACTCTAAAGTAACGCAATCTATTGGGGAACCTGTTATTAAACGGTGGGTCGCCAGGGGGTCTTAAAGCGCGTTTTCTAGCAGATACCGCTTCCGTATTTCAACCGGAGGGCGGCTTACTTTTAGTCGTGGCACAAACCATGCCTGCGTAACCGGCCAAAGGAGTGTCGTGACTCGCTAAGGTGTTAGTCATTGTTGATGAATTTGGACTCGCCATGTGTCATTGCCAATGGGAGGCAATGACGCTCTTCCTGCCCAATCAGAAATGCTTTAAGGCGCTTTAGGGCCAAAATAGTAGATTTTTGAGCGAATAAAAGGGACACTTTATTCAAGCTCAAATCAATTCAAACTGGGATTTACATTAAGGCCAATCAATTCTATCTAAGTAACGCTGGCATAAATGCATCTGTTCCCCTTCAGAAAACAAGGATATGGGATCGTGAAAATCGATTTGAATAGCTACGTCCGGAGTTATTGGCAGACTCATCAAAAATACGTTTCAGTGCGAAATTTAACTTGTCACCTTCGCGAATAACATAGCTTTGCTGTCCCAAAAACAAAGTCTGTTAGATTAGAAAGACCACGTACCTGCACAAGTACTGTACTGATAACTTACCGTATCGTTTTGCCGAAAAAAAAAACGTGTCCTAGGCAAAATATTGTATAATAACTTTGGCAGAGCTCGGGACCCTGACAGCTGCTCTCTGCAGTTAAAAGACTTTATCCATCAGTAAACGAAGTTAAATTAGACACTAAATGGAGCTTACTGGAATTGGTGCTTGTGCGCCTCATGACGTCCGTAGCAGTATCCAAAATAGTTTCCAAAACTGAAATCCTTTAGGTACTTTAGAAAGGGCAAACAAGGAAAAAGGTACTACTCTTTGAGGGGCAACTATAGGGCCCTTCGTAATGAGATAACAATTTCTACTATTCGTAAGCTATAATCAAACGCTACTCATGTACACAACGGTATAGTTCGTAAATCTTTTCCGTTTACTTTAGCTTAGCTTTAGAACATTTTCATATTTATTATTCGTATGTGGTGCTTTCGATAACTCGTAGTGTATATACTTCTCAGTTTATTTACTTAGCTGTTTTGTGCACTTCTCTGAAATTCGACAGGTATAAAACAACTATATATAGAGACTAGACTATATCTAAAAGTTAAGGGATTCTGTAAGTATCGGCGTATCACAAGCTGGCGTTCCAGTATTAGGGCAAAAGAAATAGTTTATTTGCGATTTGATTTTTGCGTACTGGCCCTCGTTGCAATATTTATATCCAAAATACTTCAACTACGTACGTCACGCGGCGCTTTTGTTAAAACTATAATTCGAAATTAATATAGTCATGCCGTTGCGCATCAGCATATTAATATCTCCTTGATATACAACTCGGTATTATTAGTTCATTGACAAAAACGAACCTCACAGGATTTGCATATTCAGTGGGGCTGTCATGCAACGAGTGACCAGCGGCGGCACTCTATCTAGAAGTTGGAGTAAACCATGGAACTACCTAATTCTAGCTTTACGCCAGGATATAGTGATCTCCATAGCCTTAGGGAACCTGAACACGCACATATTTTTTTTGGTCGGCGAAGTCGCGGTCAGATTTCGCTTAATGCTGACCAGATAAGCTCATCCTATGTAACAGAATTTGATCAGTTTTCTTACTTACAAAAGTACCGAAACGATGGTAGAGTAGTCCTCGAGGATCAGGAACCTCTCGAAACCTACTTTGCAGAACGTCAAAGCAATCCGCAATCGCTAAGGTTCAAAACTGTCTTCAATTATCGCTCCACTGATGTCGACTTGTTATTTAAATTGGACAACGAAGTAGATCTGTTCATGCAGAAGTATATCGACGGCTTTTTGAAGGGTCTCGAGAATCAGGGCTATGCGAACCGTAAAGGCGTTGGGGCCCTTCTTCTAAGGCTGAACAAAAGAAAAGATTCTGGAGCGCCTAGTAGCTGGTCGGTGGCGGACCAATAGAGCCGGCAGTAGTGTGGGCGGCCAAAATCTACGATTTAATGAAGCTGCACCTTGAAACACATGACTCAGTATAATATATTAAGTGATAAGGAAAACATGCCGTTAACCAAGAACTTGATTGTTATGTAATATATGGTAAGAGAATTCTACAGTAAACAACTTTCTCGAATGATTCGAGCAATTGGTAACGAGTAGCCTACACGTTAAGTAATGGATTTCTTTTGTCGGATATGGTATCTTTCTATGTATTTGAAGAGGACGCACAGGCTAAACGTGAGCGGGCAGTTTAAACAGGAGTTGCACAAGGAAATACATAACCGGTACAGTGAGGTTCTTCGAAGATCTTTAGCTTGGTAAATATCTAGAATGATCCTATACATTATAGAGAATTGCTAATTTGGCGGTTAGAAGCAGTTCTTTTCGCAGTCACTTATCCTTAGGTTCGCGCCGACACGTCTACTTCAACCCTTCATAAAACAGGTTCTCGAGAGCAGTGTATTGCTTATACTTAGCTGTACATATACATGATTAAAATCTTCATCCTTCTTTATCGAAATTAATATGGGCTGAATATGAGCCTTAGGTTAATATAAACCTCATGTATACATATGCCTATATGGATACGTATATATATGCGTTAAAACGTTATAAACGAAACAACAAAAGCGTCCTAGCTTTCATGTTACTTCCGGTCCGGTAGGGCAAGATATTAATAGCTTAATGCTATAATAATAATAGGGCCAGAACTAAATGAAGTTTGATTTCGGTGATAAATAAATGATAATCTTTGCTCAGTAGAAAATGCTTGGTTTTTAGCTCACCCTTTATTTAATAGGCTTTCGAGGAAACAAGTTATTTTTTCTTGATTTGATTAAGGAAAAGCTAACCTGGTGATGGAACGATATCAACTCGTCCCTGGAAGTTCTATAGCCTGAGGAGAATTCTTATTACTATATTAGAAAACACCTGCATTGACACAGGGGACGTGTAGCAAAGCGAAACGTTACCAATAGTATGGTGTGTCTCGGCTCCTTGACTGCTCATTCATGCAAAAAGTAAATATGAACACGATGCGTATGTGCATGAACGTGTGCTTCTGCATGGATTCAGCTAAACACCTGAATAGTTAATACCTAAGGCAGTATATCGATCATTAAGGACACACAGGACTCCACATTAGACTGCATCAATATTTAACGTGATCACAGTAATTCAATAGCATGTTATGCAATCTGTTCAAGTTCTTGATAACGTCAACATAAAAGCTCTGTACGTTAAGAGTTTCAATTATTATAGTTGTTTTTTGCCGTTTTGGCACGTGTGGAAACGCAACAGTACGAACCCACCAAGTATGAATGAGCGGTAAATCGATTCATGATGCATTGTACCACATCTCGAGCCGCACTATCCCCGTAGTTGAAATTAAATTTACAAAATGTTATTTGTGTGCAAGCTCTGTTTAGACAGACAGGTAGAAATAGCTATCGAATCAACAGCACGAGGAAGACGTGTTTTTGTTCTCAGTTTACGTCGTGCGGTCCACTCGATCTTCGTGTATATTAGCTTCCGCTCGAACCTTCGAAGCTGCGTGATGTTTGACTGAGTACGTTCCAACAAACCCGCGCATCCGTTGAACGAAATATAGTGAATGGGTTTAGATATTATTAAGTATGGTACGATGATTGAGTTACGTAAACTTAAAAAAAGTTCATTGCGTCGAGCCTTGTTCTTTAGCAACTCATTAAGCGGTAGAAGCTAAGATTATTTTCGACAATTTACCGTTTAGACGGATAGCAACGTGTACCGAGGAGAAATAGCTGAGGACGTTTTGTAAAAATGTATCGGTAACAACTGCACAACAGTAAAGGTGCCAATCCATTTAGAAAAATATAACGCACCGAGCCGACGAATGTTTATTTGTAATTTAACAGACTTTCAACTGCTCATCAGGATAATCATTTGAGACAATGTTGTTCCTCTAGGTGGAACAATGAGTGAAAACTATAGCTAAATTCCACGTACGTGGGTGTTAGTCGAGTGATTATATTATGAAATTCGTAGCATTGTGTGGATGACGTAAAAGTAAAATCATTACCTGAGAAGGAAGATGATAGATATTTAGAATATACTTAGTTGAAATAAATAGGAAACGATTCCACCTGAAGCTTCCTACTTTTTACTATTACCTAAACATTTCATCGATCGCATCGAAAAGCATCCGGATAATAAATAACGATTTGAATTTCTCCGCTGGACCATAGCCATTCTCGGAACTGCGAAAATTATAAAATGATTGTAGAATATATTTAATACACCTTGTACATCCACTAGGAGAGTGGACGCTGCTATGAATTGAAGCACGCCTGTGCCCATGAACATCCGCCATCATTAACAGGCATAATACGGCTATTTTGTTCTTTTATTCAACATAATGTCATTAGTGGCCGGTCGCCTGACTAGCGGTGACAGTGCAGAGGTATAGCAGGAAATGCAAAGGAAACGACATACTGAGCACCGACGCTAAGGATTCTGATTCACTCTGAACTTGGCCACGAAAAAGACCACAAGCCGGGAATACTACTAGCTCATGATTGCCACTCATAAACGAGTTTTTCTCAAGCCTTCGTTAAGCATAATACAACAATGCTTTAGAGTTCAACTTCAATACGCGAAGTGTAACAGAGATATTTCAGTTGTGGAAACTTCATTCTAAGTCTTTCCCACATTTTGTATTCTTGCTAACTCTTACTTGCGGAAGGTTTTAGTTTAAAAAGTAATAAATCTTTAGAAGCTGGCTTGTATTGTTTCGCACATTCACTATATATATATATATATA